GTAGTAATGGCTTCCAACCTAATTGTGATGGCCTCCAATTAGTAGCTTCTTGCTACTAGTAGTAATGGCCTCCAACCTAATTGCGATGGCCTCCAATTAGTAGCTTCTTGCTACTAGTAGTAATGGCCTCCAACTAGTTTCCGATGCCAGGAGTCCAATTCTTTCGAAGGGATCGCAGACAGAATGAGCTGTTCTTTCCCGACATCCTGTGCACGTCTCACGCCGGCAACTCTAGAGACGACGCATCGGCTACGGACAGCACGATGCGCGATCCGAGAAATGAGAGGAAATCAAAGCATTCCCCAACAGGTCGTTCGTTCAATGGGTATCCACCAGCAGTATCCAGGAGTTGCATACAAAAGAGGTGATGCAACCATGTGGGTTTGTATTAAAATAGGGAGACCTCCCATTTCGACCCTGTGGGAGCAGGGATTCCAACAACCACGGAAACGCCATGGCAGGGACTTGACGGGTACACGCCCGGCCCTGGTGAAACGCGAAACGCCATGCGGCAACGCGCTGCCTCCAGGTGGAACTTCTGCTGACTGAGGTATCCTTGGTTTTGAGGACTCAGTGACCGCAGTGTCACCGCGAAAAAACTCCAGTCATCCATATTCTACTGGAGCATTTTCTGGTTAAAGTATCTGGCCTCAATCTCGACAAGGTCTTTTCATTCCAAAAGGTACGAGAACGTGTGCTTCCGGCTGCTCGCAGCATTGCAATGGATGAATTCGGCCAATCTGCCAAAAACACAACACAAATTCATGCAAACTGTCGGTCTTGTGTCACTTCAAAGCTCTACTGGGCAAAGGTTTGTCGGACTTCAATAGCCAAGGCAAACGTGTTAAAACTCTCTATGGGCGGAACATACAGGCCACCTGGAAGGCAGAGTTCTTTTGGAGTGAAAGATACTCACGGTTAGAATTCACTTCTGTGTCCTCCTGCATCTGTACCCTGACCAACAAATGGGAGAACATTAAACCTCTACAGTACAAGACTAAGAGCCTAAGAGCCATGGCAGGACCAGTTCAAGGCTTAAACTTGGAATCCAATAAGGCAGACACGGTGTAGCAACCAATATTTACAACCAGGCTGCAGTCATGAAGACCGACCCCCTTTCTAGAGCCAAAGGACGTCTTCTTCTCCAGCCTCTTAGGCAATTTCACGTGAAGTTGGTGCACGCCGCACCAAACAGTTTGGCATTGTCTCTTTGGGAAATAATCCTGCATGGCCAAGCATCCCTTGCTGCTCCGAACATGGTGTAGTTGGTCCTGCAAACCCAGCCATGGCTGTAGAAACACCCGTGATGCGACCTGAAAACGAAGGAAGCGAAGCTGCGCCCAGAGGGGCCCGCGCTCCTCTGTGAGGGGACCTTTGTAGAGCTGCAACTTGATCTTCTGAACCTCATCCTTCATCCTGAAGAGACATGACATGAAAAGCAAGCACTGATTCTAAGAAGAGGAAGAAAGATGATTGTGATCTGATCTAAGCAAAAGAGATTACGTATTTAAAAAAAAGTTGCATCTGTGTCGGCGATGAAAGGGAAAGTGCTGGATTGCAGCCATTCAGCAGGGATTCCAACTTCAGAAGATTTAATTGGAAAAAGGCTGAAACTTCAGTACCGATTGTTTTTGCTCACTAAACAGTATCAGCCGACTCTGTCAGTTGGTGCGATTTTTCGTGCGCGAACCCGAATGCCACTAAGTCTCCAGGAGTCGTCAAAGACCATTTTGGTAAGTCCTGGAATGGAGCGGTCAAAACTGAAACACAGGTGAACGGGAGTGCACTGAAGAAAATATGATGTATGCAAATGTATGCAAGATTGGCATTTGTTGGTACGAGACATGTCCTATCATATAGGTACAAGTACGCACATGATTCATTGGCCAATTCTATGGAAGAGTCTGACCTGTGGCTTTCTCCAAACGAGTCTCTCATCCACATCCTTTGGCTTGGACAGTCGTTTCTCAAAGTCGTCCCCCCAAAAAAACGTTGGGAAATGCTCATTCCATTCGCCTCAAACACAGGCTTCCCCCAAAAAAAACAAATTCCAATCTCACAGATCTTAATCAAATGAATTTGAGCGCCTTTTGTCCTCAAAAAAAACCAAGAACACCCATGTTCCACCCGCTTTCGAAGCACTGCGCGAAGCGGCCCATCACTGGGCAGCGGCTTACGCCGAGTTGCTGAGTTCCAAAAGGCATCCGCAAAACATCTGCTGGCCGTGCCCATCCAAGAGGCCGTCCATGCAGGTCCTGAAAGAGGTCGACGAAGACCACCGGTCCGGTGAAAAGCACGGCCCCTCTCGGGACGCTACGAACGGGGCTCGCATCGCTACGAACAGAGCGATCGGACGCTACTAGGGAAAAGCACTTCTTTAGGGCCTATGAGGGGGTACAGAAATATCTTTCTTGGCCCACCACTCCCCCTGAAAAAATGGACATGAGGATAATCGAATATCCTCAATAAAGCAAAAAATAGAACTGCTCTCACCATTGAACTCACAAAAAGGAACAAAAAGGACTGCAGTGATGGCACGCTCTCCGTGGGATGCCTGGCATTCTGAGCAAAAGACCATTCAGCTGCATAAGCATCCAAAACATGCCTGTATGAACAGGGTTTTAAAAAGAAACACTTGTCCAATACACCGGCGCCGCTCTGGCGTGCTCACCAGGATCGTCATCAACTCCAAGGCACTGCTTCCGGTTACCCATGGTGATGCACTCGTTCCTGCAGGAGTACCTCGGTCCGGTCGGCTCGTCTTGAAACAGATCCGACTGAAGGTAGAGGTCTAAAGTGAGGCAATACGAGCCAATCTGCAAGAGGATACCAGGATGGGCGACTCAAACACCAGTTTAGCTGACTTGGGTGAAGGACTTCTGGAGCGTGACTTCCGATGGTGTTGGTTTGAATGACTAAGTAGATCTAAGTAGTGAATACTTCGTAGAGCTATCCCCACTTCCTCCATCTTCCTCTCATTGCTGCTTGGCTACTTGAAGAAGCCGCCCTCCGCCACCTTCATAGGCTGCCATGCAAGCCTGAGTGATGTCAAAACCAAACCGAGCTTTCTTGGTTCTAATAGCTTCTTGTTACTACTAGTAAGGCACCTGTTACTACTAGCGTGGCACTTGTTACTAGTAGCGTCCTTGTTACTACTAGTAAGGCACTTGTTACTAGTAGCGATGCACTTGTTACTACTGTAGGCTGGATCCTTGGAGTTTCACATGTTTTTACCTTTATCGGCCGCGGTAGTGCGGTAGTAGTAGCTAGGGAGCCGCTAGTAACTTTAAATAGCTACTACCGACACGACGCAGGATAGCTCGCGCTTCTTCAAGGAAACTCCCCAGGGTGGCAGGGTTTATTTGTATTTTTTTAGCCTGGGGGCGGGGGAGTAGGCAGCGATAGTAGTAGCTAGAGGTATCTAGGAGTTTTAATAACTACTACTTAGCATGCAGGATAGCTCGCGCTAATGATTTGGTTTCTAGAATTTTAGGGAACATGGCAAGGACAGTGGGGAGTTGGTCTGTAGACTTCTCCCCTTCACATTGGATTTGCCCCGGGGGGAACCAGGGCCGCGAATGGCAGCGTGAAAAGGACTCCTTCTTCCTTTTGTGTGGGGCTTACATGGTATGTGGCTGATCTAGACCACGACCCACTGTCAGGATCTGTCAGGGTGGTCCATGTGGGGGTGGACAGTATTGCATACCACTCACAGGTCCTTGAAGGTCTTCCGTGGACAAAAGAATCGAGAGCTTCATTCATTCTCATTAATGCAAGTGTTTCGGGTGAACGACTTGGCAGGGATTCATTGAGATGTGCTCTGAAAGTAGTGCGGGCTTGTAAGTATGAAAGCACATTTGTTTGGGTCCATTTAACAAAGCATGCTTTGCGTCACCGTGTGGAGACAAACCCATGGTTTCTTATCTGCACATCTGTGGAACCTTCCGCTTGTCCAAGTCTTTTCCCGTCTCTTTTTACGCAGAATTAGAACTGTTACAATATCCAACAGCATTCCGTTACACTGCGTGATTGACAAAACTCTCAAACTGCCTTCCTGAAATCTAAGGACCCTTTTCAACCGCTTTTGGCCAAACATGTGGCTTCCCGAGCCGAGTCAAACATGCAGCCAAAAAAGGCTAGCGCAGTGCGTGCCACATGGCATGTTTCAGGAACCATACCGCCAAGATACTTTGAATTCACCTCGGTAGCATACTCCGACAGGATCTCGTTCGCAGCAGCCCGCCGTTCTTCCAGCAAAAAGTAAGCTTTGTCGAAATTGTTTTTGCAAGTGGGCGCCTTGGTTTCGAGCACGACACCGTCACTCTGCCACTGTACCATTGAGGAACGGAAGGAAGATGTTTTGGCATGGAAGTCTCCGCGATTCGTCTGAAACATATACAGTACCTGCGGAAACAATTCATTTGATGGTGCCACCGTCTACTTCACTGCAAAAAGCGATGCAGAACAGCCGTTGGCATCACTGCCGGGATGTGCTTTTCTTTTTCCGGCTGTTGGACCATTGGGAGGTGGGGTGGACGGCGGGGACAGACTGACAGTGTTCACTCCAAACGTGTGACGCGTGGCGCACAGAACGTGGTACCCAGGACGTGGCGGTCAAATGGTCACTCTTCGTGCTCGTGGCAGGTGCAGTTCAGAACGTGCCCGTCGGAGGGCAGCTGCTTGGATTGCAAGATACGTGGCAGGTGCAGGGAATCGTGAGTGGAATGCATTGCGTGATGTTCAAGTTGCATTTCCAGGTCAGTGTGAGGTGCGCCGGATTGTGGACTGCCTGAGGGTGTCCCACAAAGTGTCACACTACAGTCATACAAGACTATCACCACCAGCTGGCCACCATTCAATAGGGCTTGTGTATGTTGATATTTGAAGGTCGGCATCATTGATCATTACAGTAGTTCGGCCAGGCCTGCGGTCTTTCTTGGGATGTGCATTCCTTCCTCACAAGCTCATCCTGCACCTTGGTTTACTAATTGTAATTGTAATTTTTTGCATTTCTTCCCTAGCTCGTTTATATAACCTAGTCTTAGATATTACCATTCTTAAGAATGGAGGTTGATTGAGCCCCTATGCTGGCTGAGCTTAGAACAACTTTCTGATCATTATTTAGCTGTTGCTCTCCTGATACAACTATTTTACAACACCATCTAATGTGCTTATTTTCGTCCTATCTCAACAAACTGTTCCTACTCGCAGAGGCTTTCTTCTGCTCCAGTAGGTTGCAACATTTACATTCACATTTACATTTCTTAAGTTGCGATCCACAAAGGAGGAACCTTTCATTCAGAATAGAACGCTTTGGACATGAAGCTTACTTTGGACCTGAAGGTGAGTGCAATTGGTAGTGTCTACAGCTGGTGACAGACATCTGGTGCTTTTGCCGCCAATTTGGTGACTGCATCCTAAGCTCCTCTATGCCAAGTGTAGTACAAGTCTTGGAAAATCCTCCACTCTCCACTGTCCACGTCCGCCTTGACTCTAAACACGAACGGTGTCTCTCCATGTCTCTCCTCTTCGAGCCACACAGATTGGAGGTTTGCCAATCGGGCGGAACAGTCCATCACTCCCACACCGCATGCGGCTTTCCTCGGTTCGAAGGTGACACGTTTTCCTTTGTTCGTTACAGTCAACAGGGAGCGCAACAGGTTAGCAGTCTTGTCTCCCAAGTAGAAGGAAATGAAAAACAGGTAGGATGTAAAAGAAAAATATCTTGTCATTAAGAAGCATAACTCGGAAACGTGAGCCCATAAGAAGGGCGTCTCAGGAACAATAACACACACATATAACATATTGTATAACTATATAATGATATATATATATATATTGATATATTCTACTGTACTAGCTTGGCAGCTATATAACGGACATCGGCACCTCTTGAGGACGAATGCCAGGAATGCCCAAGAACCATTCTACCATCTTTTCCAAGAATGAGCTCACCCATCTTGGTCGACCTGGGATCACTCTTATTCTTTCTTTACCAAGTTAAATTGAAACATTTCGAATAATTCAGACTCCATGCGCGTAGCCTGAGCGTAGCCTGCTCCGCTGAAGGCCAAGATGCTCCCAAGCTCAAGGGCATTTGACCGCCGTTTCGTGGGCGACATTTGGCCCTGACCTCGTCACCCTCCAAGACCAGCCCCTCGGGAGGGCCTCGCCAGCTGGAGCAGAAACATCTGCACAGCATTTCGTTCAATTCTTTTGCGACAGGTTGATGCAAGGTCTTGCAACCCCAAGCAGGAGAGTGTGCAAAATCAAACTGCTGAGAGGCTGACTGAATGGGGATGAGGGTATGGAGCTCGGAGCTTGGTATGGTGCCTCGCAGACCTCATCCGCAGGCTTTCGGTTTGGGCGCAGCACGAAACGCACCGAAGGCTCTCGTCGTTGCGGAAACTGTAGATCTTAATTTCGACTAAATAAGTCACAGGTTCTGAGAGGGACCTCCACCAAGAGGATAGTGATCACCGCTTAGTGAACCACCAAGAGGACAGCGAACTAGGATACACTTGGACGAATTGTTCGCAAGTGTTAGGAACTTCCCATGGACTCCTTCACCAACTTCTGGCACTCCAACCAATGGTCACATCAAAGGATTCTCAGATCCTCTTTCCAAAGGCTTGAACATCAAAGGATACTGGCTATTTGCACTTCGATCCAAGTGTTTTTCGCCCTTTTCACACCCATGAAGAGGCCGAGCATGGCGGCGTTGTGGGGAGTCATATTTCACTAAATAGCATGATAACATGTTGTTCAATTCGCGGTGCAAAAGTCCAAACACACGACGAAACACACTCGTCCCCTAAAATGGCCCGCCATCAAAGGTGTGTCCAAAACAAAAACCCTTGGACAACGTGAGAATACCCTTCTTACTTTTAGCACAGCACAGCATCTTCGTAGTCACAACGAAGCTCACTCAAGTACATCCCACACACCCCAACAGGCATGACAATCAATGTCCATATCTCCCAGATGCAAGCTGCATCCCACCCCTCTTATATAATGAAAGTACAATATCTTGTTCAAAATGCATGAAGAATGTACACGTGCATGTTCTTTCCACAGGCCAAACGGGACTATTGCAACACGCACGCAATAGGCAAAAATACATCTATCGACATGTCTCCAAAACAAGGATGCCCTGAATAAGAGGCGGATATGTATATATATATATATGGTACCCCCCAAGACCTACCTTTTGCATGTTCAGTGGTATTTACAGTGAAGTCATTTTTTTGAGGTGATTATTTTAGAGGGATTGCGGGGGCGCCATGTGTGGATGGATGGATGGATGGATGGATGGATGGATGGATGGATGGATGGATGCATGGATGCATGGATGCATGGATGCATGGATGCATGGATGCATGGATGCATGGATGCATGGATGCATGGATGCATGGATGCATGGATGCATGGATGCATTGCATACACACATGTCGAAACCCAAAAGGTGTGCAAGCAGATCCCCAATTTTTGAAAAAATGCAAATTGTGCAATTGTTTATGGATTCAAGATTCAAGATTCTGGGGAAAAGTTCTTGAATCCAAGCCCTCGAATGATGAGGTCCTGGATGTCAGTCGGGCTTGGATTTAAGAACTTGTCCCCAGAATCTTGAATCTTGAATCCAGAAAACGTTGCAACATCTGCAAAGTTTGTAAATTTTGGGGGCTCAAGATTCAAGATTCTGGGGAGAAGCCCTCGAATGTTGAGGTTCTGGATGTCAGTCAGGGCTTGGATTCAAAAACTTCTCCCCAGAATCTTGAATCTTGAATTCAGAACAAGGAGAAAGGCTACAGGTATGCGGGGTGGCTGTGGACAGCAATCTAGGGATTTAAGTACAGTAAAGTGTCTTGTTTAATACAGTGATGATACTGAAGATGAACTTAATCAACAATGTATCACAAGCTATTTTAATAGGCGGGTTGAACAATATAAAAGATATGGAAAGTATAACCGTGCCAAACCATGCAAAATAATGGTAGCAGCTCTTAATGTAGAAAACTATTCAATTTCAGGAGGTCAAGGGTTTGAACAAAGATTACATATTGAAAAATCATAGTTGCTTCGTGCTTAACTTGTCATTCTGCCCAAGGTAGTAGTATAGACGGTGATCTAGACGGTGATCTTAGTATTTTTGATTGCTACCACTTTGTGATAAGGAATTATAGGGAGCGGCTTCGGACGGCAATCACACGAGTTAGGGATTTGAGCAAAGTACTGTAAAGTATGTTTAAATATAGTGATGATACCCAAAATTAATTCAATAAACAGTGTATCACAAACTATTTAAATAGGCGGGTTGAACAATATAAAATACAGGACAGAAAGGGTAAAACAGAAATACCTAAAGAAGGTTATCTGAATGTCCAATGGTTTATGGGAAATATAACCAAACAATGTAATGACTGTGGATGTGGATATTAAAACAATATTTAAAAATGGTAGTTTATCAATTGCAGCTTACTGTCATAGACGTAATAGTATGATGAACTTTTACACACTATACATGTTTATTGTGTAAAATATATCAAACCCGTATTTAAAGAAATAGTGGGTATATATACTAGGTAATGGATACTACTAAACAGTATTGCAAAGTGCTGAAGGGTTTAAAACCTGCGACAGTTGTAGAGCCAAACAATCAAGAAGATCTTACAATAACTGGTCTTCACCCACAACTGTACACATCTTCACAATATGCCTGGCAAGCTCAAAAAGGTAGGTCTGGGGGCATGGCATACATGTATATATATATATATACACAGGAATTTTGTGACTTCGTCCCTGTTCTTTGATGTAGATGAGGTGGTCCAAATGCGAACATAATGACATCTGCTCAAAAGGGGCACAAAAACATGTAACAACCCAAGACACTTATCTTGCGTTGAGTCCATGTTGGATCAATCCTGAAACCTTTTGTCAGCAAATAGTCCTTCTTTCCAAAGCGGCCTTGAACCCAGGGGAGTCAAGGATGCCTCTACCTTCGTACATTAAATGGAGCCATCATTCGTTCCATCACTTTCCAAGAGGTTCAGAACCTGTGCAACTCTGCAGAAAAAGACGGATTCAACCTGACATTTATGTGTGACATCGCAGTTTACAAATGTAGCTGCTTCTGTGGAGCACCGGATATGCAGATTGGCCAATCTGCAGTTAATTACAGTGGATCTTGACCTCCACACATCTGGGAACACTTCGATATGCCCAGCCGGCCTTCACACACTTCAAAGCGTCGAAGGTCAAGTGCCCGTCTCCTTGCACCTCCGTCTTCCTTGCCGAAAAGGCACAACGTTGGACCCTTCTTGGGTGGATGCAGCGGCTGCGTAACCCGAACAACGCACAGAATGTGGAATACATGCCCCTTTCTGGGTATGATCACGAGTTGTCAGAGTTTGTGAATTAATTATACCTAGAACGACCAGTACCCGCGGCAGGCAAGAAATTAGTCAAGCAACCGGCTTCTGAAGACATCTGAACACGATTTGGACCAGATTCCTTCTCATCAATGAACGTTGTCTTGTCAGAGTCTCGAAATTGCATACTTAGAACCAAGTCATGACAAATTCACCTGACAAACCGATCAAAAGCGTGGAATCATGATGAAGAAAAGGCGGATTGAGAAGGAGGCTCATCTTCATCTCATTGGATCTCCCATTTTAGGGGCTCCTGGCCCTACTACTAGGAGCAAGGACGCTACTAGGAGCAAAGGGCATCGCTACTAGGAGCAAGGACGCTACTAGGGGCTCCTGGCCTTACTACTAGGAG